CTTTCCTCCTTCCACAGTCATCCCTTAACCCGTGAAGCATATAAGTAATTAAATGATTTCCAATCTCATATACTTGTAGTAGTTAACTTAATCAGCTAACCACTAGAAGGTTCAATTATAGTAGCAATATTTTACTTACTTATATATTACTTTTTTAACCCGGCGGAAGGCGCACCAAGAAAAGTTACTAGAACGGACGCGTGGGGTATCACATACCCCAATATTTAAAATACAATAAAAATAGTATTATTTAGTTTTAAGACCTTTTTTTTTTTTTTTTTTTTTTTTTTGTTCTCGTGTATTATAAATAAGTGAATAATAATTGGGTTTCAAAAAATTAATTTCCGAAATAATCTTAGAGTTAAAATTAAGATAAATGAAAATAATAAACATCATGCCTCTAAGTTTCATTGCATCTCTAATACATCATGCTTTTTTTATTTCTTCACACTTTGAACGAAATAGATTCATGTGTTCTTGGCACAGAATGTTTTCACATTTTAAACATTGCATTTACGTTCTTCTGTCCTTGGCGCGAGGGCAAAAAATTTAACACATCTTTCATACTTAGTTGTTTCTAATTCATGTATTCGTTTTAATTCTTCATCGAAACTTCTGCTTTTGTTTTGCATGCAGTACGTCAATTTCTTGGAAAAGTATTAATCTCTGATCTTTGTTCAATACTTTTTTTCATTAATTGTAATGCTAAGTCCTCAAAAAACAGACTTCTGTTTCTTGTTGGTGGATTAGCAGTTGAATGTAATATAATTCAAGCATTTATTACAGCAACATTCAGTGCAGGAAAGAAAATTACCACTGGCCACCTTCTCGTTATTCTGGCAATTAATAATAATTGGCTGACATTTTATCCCCCATATCCACTGCTCCTTTAATCATATTATTAAAACATATAATTCCTAACGCTTTATTTTCTCCAATAGTATCTTCTATAGTATGATCGTTATATAATGTTATAATGTTATAATAATCGTTATATAAAGCATAAGAACAGCTTTTCCTTTTTTAGGAACATCAGGAATTAATGTTTTATCTTTTTCGAAACCAAAACATTGTAGAAATATCTTAGTTTCATCTTCAGTTTCCGAATGCAATCTTTATCGCTTTCAAATATTTCTAATAAATCTCGAGGCGTTGCATCTCCAGTTCATAGGGACTCATTCTTTTACCATAAGGCAGTTAGAAATTTTAAGAATTTAATGTCAAGTACTTTAAAATCACTTGCGAGTAGAAATATTTACTGTTACACTCTATAAATGAATTTCTGAACTAAATATTCAGTCAGAAAAACACTTACACGGACAGGCGCGTGGGGTGTGTCATACCCCAGTTCCAACAAAATACCGATAAATCTTTTTCTGAAACACACAGGCAAAGAAAAAGCGGTTCTGAAAGTCAACCACAACTAGAAACTCAGCTACTGAAAGCAGCACAGAATTTCAGTTTCACAAGTTAGGAATATTCCACTTTTATGTAGGGTTGGGGTATGATACACCCCACGCGCCTTCCCGCGGGTTAAGATTTCATGCTTCTAAAATATCTAATGGCTACAAAATAAAACTTTACCTTGACATTCACTGTCTAAGTAACAAAAATGCCAGGATAATTTACGGGAGACATATTTCACAAGTGCACATCAGCGTAGCCACTGAGGGAGGGGTTTCGAAAATGGCCCAATCAGCTTCTATTGCTCTTGAGACGCTAAATCTTCGTGGATGCAAGCGTATGTTGTTTACGTTTTAATTTGCTTTTGTTTCGCAGTTATAAATGTATGGAGTTGTAGTAGAAAATCACGTAGTGCTTTCGTTTTCTGAGTTTAATTAATCGCTAACATTTCACTTTCGCGATTTTTATCGCGCAATAATATTTGGATTGATGTTCACGGCATAGTATCACTCTTTACATCGAGAAAAGGACTCAAGCTACAATTACCTCAAATATTATGCATTTACTAACACCCGTGGATTAAGATAATTCAAATGTATATATATATTTTTTAATTGAGCTGAGAAGACTGGAAGAAGTGTTACAATGAATCTAGCGTTTTTTTATTTCGGTGCTTGCATTTTTCTGATTTTTAACGTGTAAGATTCAGAATACATATTGTGCAGGATATGATTATATCCCTTGTTAACATTAAATGTTATATGTGAATAAATTGAATATATTCGATGTTAATAACATAAATTCATTCTGTTTGTTGAGTATTTGTTAAGTTAGAATACAGCGCCACCTGTTGGATAAGTAGAGAAACTTTCACTTGGCCATCTGGATTCGGCTAAGCAACATGCCAGGGCATGTATAGGGTGGCCCAGAAGTCACTTTACATTTTGAAAATTAAATAACTTTTTTTCTATTAATATATTTCTTTTTCTCTTTTCAGAATTAAAAAATATAATCCCTGGAAATTTTTGGCAGGGATAAGTTTACAACAGAACAACGAGTGAAGATAATTGAATTTTACTTTGAAAATGGACGGTCAATTGTTGCAACGCAATATATGCGCCATTTTAATGTTCGACATCCCCCTAGTAGGCCTGCAATAAGGAACTTAGTGACGCGTGTTCAAGGTTCAATTAGTGCAATCTTTAAAACCAGCAGACTTTCAGAAACGAGTAAATTATGCTGTCAGGTTTCAGAGAACTGCAAGAAATGACAATGAGTTTATTCACAAGTTGATCATGGGAGATGAAGCTCATTTCCATTTGAATGGACATGTGAATAAGCAAAAAATAAAAAAGAATTAATTAAATACAGTCATTTAAGAAAAGGTTATCAAAATGTAAAGTGACTTCTGGGCCACCCTATATTAGATCTGAATAGTTAATTACTGTAAATAAATTAGTTAGTTCTTTTGCTATACGGTCCACTTATTAGTTTAGAATCATAGTACATTGGTCAGCAGAACCGGAGTAATGAACAAAATGCTGGCATTAGATAGAAACAAAACTTCGTTAAAAGCGAAACTGACTAGGTTAGAAAATGTAGTGAAGGAATATGATGATAGTTCGAATAAGAATGAAATTCAAATATAGACCCCTTCAAAGCATTCAAATGGATATTAGAAACTTGAGGATTAGATATTTCGAAAGCGTTGATGAAAAAGATGTCACAGCTATTAATAAAGAAAATTTAAAGGCAGGTATGTTAGTTGTGTTAAAGGAAGATAATCTTCCCCCATTTAAATGGTCTTTAGCTAGAATTCTAGACCTGGTGAAGATAATAAGGCCAGAGTTGTTAAAGTGAAAACATCAAATGGTGTGTATATTCGATGTATTAGTAAAATTTGTTTGTTACCTATCCAGGATAATAATGCTTTGTTTACATTATGTTCTTATTGAAAATTGTGCTTTATATTAAAATGGAACTGTTTAAGAATAAGTTCGATTGTAGCATAGTGAATGTTAATGTTCTCAGAAATGATTTATATTATTTTATATTATATTCATGATGAAAGATTATCCTATTAGTTTTCATATTGTTACTGTAGAATTAGTTGTTCTTGGAAATGTTAAATTGTATGCTTGTTCGTAATTTACATGTTGAAATTTGTAATTTCAACGTTCGGCGGCACGTTAAGTTAGAATACAGCGCCACCTGTTGGATAAGTAGAGAAACTCTCACTTGGCCGTCTGGATTCGGCTAAGCAACATGCCAGAGTATGTATTAGATCTGAATAGTTAATTACTGTAAATAAATTAGTTAGTTCTTTTGATATACAGTCCACTTATTAGTTTAGAATCATAGTACAGTATTTCTTGTGTAGACAGTACATTTAAGGGTGAGCAGTTATTAAATGTGAAATTTAACACAAGTCATACGAATGCAAATTAATAAAGCTCACTTTGAATAAAATTCTGCACTGGCTATTATTATAGAACATTATTTTCATATAGACTGCAATAAAAAGTATTGACTTCTACTTACTACATATATAACTGGTGTAAATATTTTTCTCAAATGGATAGTTTTACGTAAAGACAGCATTTGGGATCAGACGTTTATCACATACTTTTTTCTTCACCTTATTTGCCGTTTATTAAATAATATTTCACATGGATATTTTTGCGCAGTGTCCAACATGTGTTTGTATTTATTTCAAATACTTTCAACCAGGTAGCGAAATTTTCGCAATTGCTTATATCTGATCTAACTTCGCAATGAAAATTTGCGGAAGAAATCGACGATGCTTTGATTATTTTGTACAGAAAATTGCGTAACAAAATATTTTCAACCATTTTGCTTAAATCTTAAAGGCACACGAAAGGTCATGTGACATGACAGAAATATCACTGGATGCCCATTGGTCCATTCTAGAAGCCACTCTCTCGGTGGCTACACAGATGTACACTTGTGAAATATGCTTACGAAAGCCAAAAATGTATGGATCTGAAAATAGGGTAGAAGAGCCACCAAGCTAGATGTACGTATCCAAATGATCAGAAGGTTGTTGATGTGTGTTCCTTGATCTATTGCGCCAAGATATTTTACTGTACATTTATTTACAATTTATTTACAAATCGTATGCCACCTAGCATGTTTACAAGCGTTATGCCTCCTGGCATGTACATGATAGACATATTCTGCCACCTGGCATGTGAACTAATACATCATACTAGTTTTATGCCACCTGACAGATACGATGCAATTACCTCAATTAGCGGTAATACGCCCAACATTTTGGCGCGTCCACTCTCCTTACGTTCTGTAACGCAACTAACTCTTTGTGCGGTGCGCCCTCTGGCTACAAATCACCGCAATCACCGAGGATGCCAAAACACTAGATATGAAGAATAATATACCGGAGTTTTGATGTTTTACAAAGTCTTAGAAATAAAATTTATAGCTGCTTATTATTAAACTGAAAAAAATTATCTAGAAATATAGAAATTCGGAATCCACTCAGTTCTCTTCTGTAAGCTGTGATTTACAAACGAGGTACTTATGGAAAATTTTGATTTATAAAATTGATTCCATCTTACCTGAGAGGTCGGAGCGAGCGAAGTAACCTGAAGACCCTCAAAATACCAAAAATTCGTGGACTGCTTTCTGCAACGAAGGATAGGATGACGTCCACCAACGATATACCGACTACGAAACCATCCATGATATTCCAGCCGCTCTTAAAGTAAGCGTTAGGACCATACCATAATCCTTTGGCAAGGACCTAAAACGATATCACATTCATGGTTAGAATGTGTACTTATTACACTGAGTTGCAAAATTCATGTAGCAAAACACATGGTGAAATAATTTCGGAAAGCTTTTTTGCATACGAAAGCTTTCTTAGTTGGATGTAAAATCACAAATAGCTACTTACCTTAACTGCCATTTCAAAGGCGAAGACTACGGTGAAGATGTAATTAGCAGATATTAAAAAAATCCTTTCTTTGCTGTCTGGAGGTATTGTAGGCCTTTCCATTGCCAATGTAATACAGTTGGAGGCGATGAATACCAAGATTATATAATCGAACCATTTATTCTCCGCGATTCGATTACAAATTCGTCTCAGGCTGTGGAAGAATAAAAAGAAGTTAAAAGGCAATAAACTTCATATAATTGATCTATTACTTAACAGCATTATTAATGAAATTTGATATTAGAAATCTCGTTACCACAGTTACTTGCGAAAAATATAAAGATCTAGATTATGATATTTCAAAGTTATATGAACACTGAAGTTACCACATTGCCAAAATAATGGACTTTTCTTTTCGACAGAGATGCTAATAATTAGGGGTTCTAGCATTAAATTTGATATCAATGACAATTTTCGATCAAATCTTTGGTACAGTCAAAAGTCGTTAATCTGGACTCGTCGGGACTTCGGCGATTCCGGATTATCGATTTTTCCGGATTATAGATCATCAGTTTAAATCTGGTAAGATGGCATGCAGAAATTCTAAAATTAAAAATAAGAAAACCGTAATTTATGAAATAAAGAACAATTATGATCTAAAGGGTATCAACATTTACAAAAAAAAGCTTAATATTTATTTGTTTACTTTATTAAACATTTCTTTCAATGTAAGTTGTTTAAGTTGCTTCGTTTTATGTGATAATACTTTCTCTTTAATTCTATAAACAGACACAATTTCTTGTTCAGTTACAAAGTTCCGCTGTTCAAGTCCCGTAATTGCTGTGCCGAGAATACCGACTAACTTGTCAACCGAAATTTTTTCGTTTTCACTAACCTCTCTGTCACCTTCTTCATGTCTTTATCCATTTTTTGCAGCAATTCCACTTTTTGTTTGATGGACATCGAAACATACTTTCGTTTTGTAATTTTGATCCTTTGGGAGCTCCAGCATCGGAAATTCTATTTTGACATAATCGAAAGTTCAAGTTTACTTTTATAAAATTGCTCTTACAGTCTGCAAAAAATAATAATACGGATCCAATTCGAAGATTAAGGAACAACGCAATCATCAACATTGACTGAAATAGATAATTAGCTTATACCGTCCGTTATACATAAAACGCGCACGCGGAAACGTATTCTGCACTTGCGCATACGCATATGCGCAGTCGTAAATATCTTACGCGCACGCGTAAACGCCTATGCGCATGTGTCAACGTGGCGCATGCGCGGAAAGATTTTAGCTTTGAGTTCCGGATTATAGATCATTCCGGATTATGGGTGTCCGAATTAACGGCTTTTGACTGTATTTTGATTATTTAGTGAAACATCTGAATTCACTTTACCTTCAGGCATGAAACTGAAAAATGAGAAGAAAAATTTCAAAGGGATATTAGTTTAATTCAGGGCAAATAAAATTTTAAATTCCTGATTAAAATTGATTTTTCTGATGTATTTAAAAATTTTTCCTACTTCTACTACTAAAATTTTGCTCGTAAAATATATAGAAAATGTTGCTGAATAGCAATGGCTAGGGCTATCCTAGCATTCTGGAAATACCATTCAAAATGTGAAGCACCTTAAAAACGTTTCTAATGAGCTCGTGAACTAAAAGTTATAAAGTCTATGTTATAAAGTCTAATATGCTCTTAGGGAGCGTACACTCTAGACTTTAAAAAGACTATTGAAGAATTATCTTCTATTCTTTTGAAACAAAACAAAATTAAAAAGAAAGGGTGTATAAGACTCTTTGATTGGAACACAAACTTAACAATTACCCGCCAAGCACTTCTGGCTTAACAGAAATATGTAAGGATGAACAAATTCAAAATTCGGTAGATCCGCCTAACGATTCATAGGAAAATTCAACGCACAGGAAAGGCTCTGGTTTGTAGAAAAGCGGCGAGATAAAGCCGAATGGCTAGAAGCACTCAGTGCCACTAAATCAAGTCACTAATCATCACGGCACAACGTGGCCTGGAATAGGCAGACACGCTCTAAAACTAACTTCCGAAACTCTTGCTTAAGTAGCACTTTTGCCTACCTTTTAATCTGAATAAACTCTTGTTGTCTCACTTATATTCTGATATTTATATATTTATGAAATTATTATATTCTGATATTTATTAGTCCAAAGGGATTTCAGTCCCGAAGGACTATTGCTTTCGTTTTGGCATTTTGCGTCGGACTCATAAACGTCGGTTCACTTTTCAAAATGTTGCCACAAAATGTTAGAGTCCTGCATTATATTTGAAGAAATTAAATAATGAAAAATCTGCATAAATGATTGTATATTTCTCGCATTGTGATAAAACAACGGTACATAGAGTCATCGAATTTTGAATAACGAAATCCTACCAACGAATATGGGCATGTGGAAGATCCCAAATTTGGAAATTTGTTTTATTATAGATTTTATATTTTTAAAACTTTAACGAATTTTTGATTTACAAACTCAATGCTTTAAAAGCGAGAAATGGCAACGTTATATAGAAAAAAAAAAAAAAAAAAACATTTTTATCTCCAGCTCGCGAGTCTCTGTATATCGGAAATTCTAAAGATATGCTCGTAATTTAACAACTTATTTTGCGATATTTGCTCTTGACACTGAATTTTATGGTTTAAGTGCGAAAGGAACATGATATTTAATAAATAAAGGTAACATTCAAAACGTTAAAAAAACGCCCCTTTGGACGTAATTTAAAATCTGAAACATTTCAGTTTTTTTTTAAAAATATTTTTTATATATTTATGAAAAGCGTGGGTCTAACTTAAAAGGAACTATTAGTTAAAAATAAATAGATAAACCTTACATCGTTTTAGAATATTCTGTTAAAATCAGAATGAGAGATAAACGTTACAAAAACTAGGTATTATGAATTAATGCAACTATTTAATATAATTTTTCACAGTAAATATAATAAAAGCAGAAGCATTAAAAATAAGCCCACCAGCGGCCGAGCGGTAAAGTCGCTGAACACTGGTAGTTCGGTCCGAGGTTCGAATCCCGCGAACGGGCTGGCTGCATGGGCGTTTTCGTGGTTTTCCCCATGTGTAACGTGTATACGAGCCAGTTTCCCTTAGAAAGTCCTCCACGAAGGCATCCCTCCCCTTAGGCAGATAGCCCTCGAGGCTTTGCCACAATCACATACACACATTAAAAATAAACCACAAAATCACCTGATAGCGTCCGTCTTAATGTAAAGTAATTTTCCACACTATTTTATTTTTCAGTAACAGGTACAATACCAAGATGATGTCTGCTACTAATTTTACAAAGATAGTCTGCCTTCAGTGTTTGCTATTATTCTTAATCTATTGGAATGTGCAGGGATTTAAAAAATCATGCTTTGTAAAAGTGAAATGGCTGCCTTTATAAAGTTTTCTAAGTTGAAAAATAAATATCTCGTGAAGTTTTGAAAAAAAAGTCTACGACTATTTGGCAGAATCCTGACACGGTTTTTGTTGGCAATTGTTCTTGCGATGCGAGAAAGGTTCGTCCATACTGTTCTCGTAGTCTTTACTTATTTTATTTTGAAAGAATTTTCTTTTTCTACAACTTTTATTTTTTTTTTTTTTTAAATCCCTTACTACAGATTGTCAAATGATTCCTTTTTAAAGACACTTTCTTAAATTTTTAAGCAGCCGAATAGGATTGAATCTTTAGTCAAGCTGGATTGAGGTCTACATGCCTTGCTTTGGACAAGTCTATTATAGAGTTTTCTGGTTTTACAAAATTCTGCAACGAAATAGAATCACAGCTTTAAATGCTCAGGATAATCATTTTGGAGTTATTAACAGAAGATGTTCTTTTTCACTAAAATTACTTTTGCGGAATATTAACTCCTTGCCTGTGATGCCCGAACTCCGGGCAACGCAAATGCTCCAAATTTGGAATGCCTAATCTGAGTTCGGTGTTTCTGTTACCGTGAAAGACCGAAATTGGAGAATGTCGACTTTCACCGGAGAATATCAACATTCAACAAATACGTCGGTGAAAGACCGAATATTTCACTACATTCTTGTATATTCGGACCCTCACCGGTGTATGTCGACAAGCACATATGTGCTCTGGTGAAAGTCGAAAAGAGAGGTCATAAAGTGCCATAATAGTTTAAGTTGTTGCAATAAATAAGATTTGAATAACATAATTTAGTAAGTTATTTTTATTACTGTTATTTTATTTTCTCATTTAGAACGTACTATATAATTAAGTAAGTTTTTAACTTCTATTATTTTCCTTTCTCATTTTGAATGTATTGTGTGTTTTACGTTCTCATGTTCTTAAGTTCTTATTTCAAGTTTCAAGTGCGTTTTTTCGCGACTGAATGACGGAGAAGAAAATATAATATTGTTATATGTTTAACATTCATCATTAGTACGTGGTGAAAGTAGACATTGACCGGTGTAAGTCAGAAATACAGGGGTTGGACAAAAATATGGAAACACCTTTAAGAAAACATGTTTCTTTGCTTAATATGGTGTAGGAAACCCGTTGGCATCGAAAACAGCTTGCAACCTTCTCGGAATGAATAAATACAGTTCCTGTATGTTTGCCAAGGGAATATTATACCATTCTTCCTGCAAAACGGTGGCAAGTTCAGATAACGATGTTGGCGGTGGATAACGAGAACGCACTTTCCGTTCCAATGTAGACCACAAAGGTTCGATAATATTCAGGTCTGGTGACTGTGGTGGCCAGGGGAGATGGGACAACTCATCCTCGTGCTCAGAAAACCAGTACTGAACAATGTGAGCTGTGTGAACAGGGGCTTTGTCGTCTTGGAAGACACCACCACCATCGAGGAACAAAGTTTGTACCATGGAATGAACTTGATCGGCCAAAATGTTCACATAAGTCTTGGCAGTCATGTGCCCTGACACAGTTATCATGGGGCTAGCAGAGAACCACGATATGGCTGTCCAAACCATAACAGAACCCCCGCCATGTTTCACTCTTGGCAACAAGCAGTCTGTATTATAGGCTTGAGATGGCGTTCTCCAGACGTAAACTCAGCCAGAAGTGAGAAACAATGTGAAAGAAGACTCGTCAGACCATATTACTCCCTTCCACTGCTCTATAGTCCAGGCTTTATGACTTAAACACCACCTTTTCCTGTTACGGGCATTAGCATCACTGATGAGTGGCTTCTC